GCTGGTTGACTCGAGTCCATGTTAGTGCACAAAGTAAACTGCTCGCTTTACTCTCGCTGTCCCGTGAACAACATCGGCGTGGCGTTAATTGTTTGCTGTTTTCGCGATCGCGTCGCGCATGAGGACATCACCGGGTAAACTCGCGACATTTTTAAACATTTTGTTGTTCAACAGCATCACGACTGACGGAGCGTGTTTGAGATAACCTCACACGTGTCACAGGTGACACATTTGGCGTGTTTTTGCTGGTTTGTCGGCAGCAGCTCCTGAAACGCAAGACTGCCGCACATCTGTTCCACCAACGCCAGTTGATCTAAACGCCAGTTGATCTGGAACACCGGTCACGAAAGGGTTTTGTTTACAGCGTCCGCGTGACGTCAGAGTCAGCTGTGCCTCGCGCAAGCGCTGTCCGCGTGCACGCGCGTGTGTGGATGATTCAGCAGCAGCGGCTCGAGCTCTGAGCATGTGCGGCACAAACAGACTGCACGCGGACAAAAGGCGTTCACGTTAGCGTCTCCTCTCCGTCAGGGCGCGCGGAGGTGATCGTCGGCAGCGCGAGACTCGCCGAGCCCGGGAGGAGCATCCACAGGCCCCACAGCTCAGCGCCGTTTACTGGGACTCTTACCGCTGCCCGGCCTCCAGCACAGCGCCAGCGGTCGGATATTACCTCGGCACAGCCCGGCTCATAGCCCGGTTCATCCCGGCTCACAGCCCCATTACAGCTCGGCTGTCTTCATCCAGCCGAGCAGCATATTTCCGCATTTCGGCGTCAGATGCTCCGAGTGGTTCGCAGGTGAGTGTGAGGAAACATCTGCTGAGAGGACACACACACACCCCACGTCCAGGCTCTGTGTGTGCGTGTGTGTGCGCGCGTGTGCGTGTGAGAGAGAGACCTGAGGGTCAGACAGAAGATCTGTTTCACAATCGATTAATTACTTAGATTTTCTGTCAGCTGATCAGGTGTGTAACTTAAGGTTACGGGTTGTTTTTGATCATTTTGTCCTAAAGATAACGAGACTCGAGACAGTTTATTATTTTAATGAACTGATCGAACAATTAATGATCAGTCGGTCTCTTTCCGGTGAAGCAATCACTCACACAGCTCAGGTCATCTCACAGGACGGTGAAACTTTAGTTTGGTGTTGTTTCTACGAGCCTGACGTCACACAGCAGTTATCATTACCGGTTAAACTAACCTGGTTAAACTAACCTGGTTAAACTAACCTGGTTAAACTAACCTGGTTAAACTAACCTGGTAATAACAATCAGATCAGCTGATTGATTAATGTGCTGTTTATAAAACAGATGTTTTTACTGCAGCAAACGTCTCTGTGAATCATCACTGACTACTTTATTGAACTAATCGATTATTCAGTTAATCAGTGCTCAGCTGATTTCTTTTATTGATCAGTTGGGTTAGTTAACGTAAAGCTTGCCTACAAAGAGCCAATCAGCAGCTGATGTGGGAGTCATAACAGCCAATCAGATTCAGGCTGAGGTGACGTCACCAAACTTGGGCTTGATTCCAGTTTATTGTAGGAATGAAATGTCGTTGAATTCATTTATAAATGAGCTTTGATCATCACAAACATTTGTTTATTTACTTTAAGCTGAGCTCTGCCTCCTAACGAGCTGGAAGCACTAAGTTAATAACATGGACAGGTTCAGCTTCCCCTTTCTGAGTAAGTTTCCTTCAGTGGATCCTGAGTGTGTGATGGTGATGATTTATTGACTGCTCGGTGTTAAAGCACATGGAGAGGAAACGTGGAGTTTGATTTTCCCCGTCAGCATGAAGAGAAAGTACAGCCGGCCTCAGCAGTGAGTCGAATGCATCATCCGGGCTTTTAACCTGAGTCTTAAACTGGAGCACGAGCCCGGAGTCTGCAGTCATGGAGGAAAGGCAGCGGTGGATGATGAAATTAACCGCGTGTACTGTGAAGTGAGCTGATGTGGGTTGGTCGGCAGAATCAGGTGTGAAAGCAGCTGCAGAGACGAGTCCCCCGCTGCTCTGTGGCGCTCTCGCTGCCAGCGTCAGCGGCTCTCTGAGGGAACCTGCTGACACCGAGACCGATGGCAGGAGTCCAGCCTGTCCGCCCATCTGTCTCTCTGTGTGGCGTTTCCACCCGGCTGGCCTTTCTCCTCCTCGCCCTCTCCCTCTGAGACGAAGAGCCCGACAGATAACGGAGAGGGGATGAGTCACAGCACAGAAAACAGAAGCCCCGCTGGTGCTTTCATTAGTTTTCTGCCTCCTGTTCAGGTTTTTGTTCACCTACCAATGAAACAGAAGCTAGTTTCATAGACGGGTCGGCCTTTTGTGTCTGTAGCCCGCTCTCACCCCCGAGGAAGACAAAGGAGCTGCAGAGGGAGGAGTTTGGATCCAGCTGATCAAACATTAATTGTTTCCAGACTGTTGGATGAATAATTGAAGTGGAAGGTGTAGTCCTGCCTGCAGGTTTAACTTCGCTGTTTCAAAGTCGTTTCTTCAGGCTAATGTTTTCCATCAGGCCTTCAGCGCAGATGGCACAGTTGGTGTCCTCTGTGGGCTGGCAAATCAAGATAGTGGAGTCCCCGTGTTAGAGGAAAACAAGTTTGTGTGTGCGTGTTGGAGGCCGAGCCGCTCTGCTGGGTTTGGATGGAGGTCACCTTGGTGTCGACCCAAAGATTAAAGTCATGCTTGCTGAGGCAGCATTTTGTAATTATGTGTCAATGAAAGAAAATGAGCATTTAACTCCAATTTTTATTTTTTAAAAGTAATTCCCCCCAAAGGTCAGCGTTACATCTGATTTTATCTCAGTCCTCATCATCCTGTGTCATCTTTGTGAATTAAATCTGAGCTTTTTGTTTCACTGGTGGAAACTTTCTTCTGCATGTCGGAGCTCAAATCGCAGCTCTGGTCGTGCGTTGGTGCCAAGCTAATGCTAACAGCGATGGCGGTGGCTCTCTGTGGAGCGATATCTGATGCCCTCTCCGTCTGTGCTGATGGAGGTCAGCAACAGGAAATGTTTGGTGAATCTGTGGATCTCTAGCTGGGTGGTGTCTGCCTGCTGCTTCCTCACTGATCAGATCATGTGAGCTGAGCTCGGCGAGGACGAGCGTGGAGGAAACGGAACATGTAAACAAAGGCTGATGTAGTGATGTAAGTGTAGTTATTCATGCAGAAACAAATTACATCAGGACACGAGAAGGGTTCATGTGGAAAATTCATTCCTTTTAAAGTTTAAAGAAAATCAGTGAGACTGACTCCAAGAAGCCAGAAATCTTTATTTATTGAATTCATGTTTTATTAACTGCTTAGAAGAAATGAACCCAAAAACAGAATAAAACACAATCTCTGAAAAACGAGCAATAAAAATAATATATGTCTGGAAATAAAGTGGAAATTGACTTAAAAATATTATTTAAAAAATTAATATTTTATTTATTTCCCATTAAAATTAAATTAATGGGAAATTAAAATTACTTTTTAAATCAAACGTGGCAGAAAAATCTGAAGTAAATATTTCCCAATAAATACTGAAACATTCTCAAATAAATAAAAAAACAAAAATAAACGATATAATAAATAGAAGAGGAAAGAAAACAGAGTCCAGTCTTAGAATATGATAAACATGGAATATTTTTAACTAATATAGTTTTAGTTTGTTTATATTGTACAATAATAGAAATATTTTGTAACATTAATAGAGTAATATGTAACAAATCTAATATACACATTATGATACATACATGAAAAAAGTATTCTTAATGTTTTTTAAAACTTCTATCAGGATTCATGTTTTTCACATATTTAATTCTAAAGAATCAAACATTCAAAATGTGAAAAATCCAGTTTAAAAATATGTTTAAACTATTAAAACTTCAGGTTTGTGAAAGCTGCGTCTGAGCTGCTGATCTGCAGAAGTGGTTTCCTGTTGCTGTGACGTGGTCTGGATTGGGGGGTGGGGGGCTGCAGACAGAGTTGATGGAGTTGACATGGGGAGGGTGGAGGCGAGCGACCTCCAGGCAGCACGAGCAGCGTTCAGCTCCTGACAGGAAATCCAGCACCGGCTGCTGACAGACGGCTAATGAACAGCCCGCGCTGCTAAACGCTGATCAAACTTTATTGACACAGAGGCGATAAACACAGATTGAGTCAGAGAACAGCAGAAACCCATCAAAACATAAATATTTATTTATTTTTAATACGACTAAAAATAAAACAAAACATAATAAAAACAAAAAAGAAAAATTCAAAGATTAAAAAATAAAGTTTTAAATGACATGACAAAATCAGATGATCACATGCTAAACAAATGAAAACAGAATAAATGATAAAGTACAATAAAATATTATTCATTATATAATATGAATGTAATAATAAGTAAAATAGCATC